TGCACCCCCTTACCAGATAACGGGGTAACGTGCACCACCACCATCCCGCCACTACCCCCAGTCTCAGGCGATGGAAAGTATATATAATATATCACAAGCACCGGCGTTTACATGCACACGTGCATGGGCGTAAGTTCCTGGACAGTAAACATGTTCAGGAACTAACGCCCACATGCAAATACAGGCGTATTTTACACAATAAACCTATATGCCTGTATTTGCATGTGTATGAATGACCCCTAAAGAGCAGCTGTGTTCATGAACAGGACTACAAGGAGACATGTTCAACTTAAAGTGTATCTAAGGAGTTTGCATGTTCCCCCTGTGCTTGTGTGGGTTTCCTCCGTGTACTCCAGCTTCCTCCCACACTCCAAAGACATGCTGGAAGGTTAAGTGGCTCCTCTCTAGATTGCCTAGTGTGTGTGCATGTGAAATAGGGACCTTAGATTGTAAGCTCATTGAGGGCCGGGACTGATGTGAATGTGCGCTGTGTAAATTGTCAGCTCTATATTAATACCAGTAATAAATAACAATTATATACAATTTGTTTTATTCTGCAAAATTGGAAGCTTCCCCACCCATACATAAGCAAAGGAGCGGGATGCTGTGATGTCACTGACCTGGTATGGCCACAAGGCTAAATTTGGTCAGTGGCTATTTGGCCATATAAGGTCAATGATATCACCACAAGCACCCCGCCCCCTTTATCTATGCACAGGCAGGGAATGCCCCAGCCCAAAGCTGATTGGGCGGGTGGACCCATCTTCCTGTCGGGCTCGGAGAAGCTCAGGTTAGGACAGGTTGGAACCTGAGATCATCCCTACTCATCCACAAGGTGCTCTGTCACTGCCCAGAACTGGGGCAGGCCGGTGACCAAACTGTGGATAAAAAGGATGTCTGAACAGAATGTAAAGTCTTCCGGCATGTATGATAGTCCTGGTGAGTGTATTGAGTGGTTTGTCTGGAATATACTGTATATTTGTTAATGATAAACTGCTGCTCTGTACCTTGATGCCCTCAATCCTGAAGCCAAGAGTGGCCGTGGAACTGATGGTCTCTCTCCAGGTCATGTAGCGCGGTTTGGTGACAGCTCGCTGCAGGTTTTCCTCTTCGGTTGGGGCATTGGGATCCACTTCAATCATCTTGCCGTACATGTCTTTCCTCAGGCTGGGCTTCTTCCGGGCTTTCGTCAGCTCTTCCTCTAGGTAGGTCCTGAATTCACCAACACAGGAAAGATTCACAAACAAAATGTTATTTTTTACATTTAACAATTCTGAATGCACAATGTAATTAAAGAGATTATAGACCAGTGTTTCTTAATGTCAGGGGCCTGAATTGTGGCCCCTGACATCCCTAAAGGGACACATGTAGCAGTCAGTGAATGTAACACTAAAGAAAGCTGCCGGCCATGCTGCCAGAGATGTTCAGAGACTGCAGACTTGTCACAGGAGATGGTCAATGTCCACAACCATGCTACAAGACATGGTCAGAGACTGCAGATATGTCACAGGAAATGGTCATTGTCCACAACTATGCAACAAGACATGGTCAGAGACTGCAGATATATCACAGGAAATGGTCATTGTCCACAACTATGCAACAAGACATGGTCAGAGACTGCAGATATGTCACAGGAAATGGTCATTGTCCGCAGCTATGCCACACGAGATTGTCAGGGACCGCAGACATGTCACAGGAGATGGTCAATGTCCACAACCATGCAACAAGACATGGTCAGAGACTGCACATATGTCACAGGAAATGGTCATTGTCCACAGCTATGCCACACGAGATTGTCAGGGACCGCAGGCATGTCACAGGAGATGGTCAATGTCCACCGCCATGCTAAAAGAGATGGTCAGAGACTATAAACAGGTCACAGGAGATGGTCAATATCCACAGCTATGCCACAAGACATTGTCAGAGAGACTGCAGAAATGTCACAGTAGATGGTCAATAGCCACAGGCACACTACAAGAGATGGTCAGAAACTACAAACATATCGCAGGAGATGGTCAATGTCCACAGCCACACTATAAGCAATGGTCAGGGACTGCAGACATGCCACAGGACATAGTCAATGTCCACATCCATACTACAAGAGATGGTCAGAGATTAAAAACATGCCACGCAGGTTTGGGGTCAGTTAGGGGTTAGGTAAGAAAACACTTTAGAAAACGTTTTTTTCAGTACCGAAAGCTTTACGACGAGAACTAAGTGTGAAAACCAATGCAGCCCTAAATAACCCCATCCTTGTATAATTGTTGTGCCAGGCATTGGATATGGGCACCCTACATGGGCCTCGCATATTGGCATGGGATATGGGCACCCTATATGGGCATGGGATATGGGCACTCTATAAGGGCATGGGATATGGACATCGTATATGAGCATGCGATAAGGGCATCAGATATGGGCATGGGATAAGGGCATCGGATATGGGCACCCTATAAGGGTATGGGATATGGGCACCCTATAAGGGCATGGGCACCCTATAAGGGCATGGGATATGGGCACCCTATAAGAAAGCTTTACGACGAGAACTAAGTGTGAAAACCAATGCAGCCCTAAATAACCCCATCCTTGTATAATTGTTGTGCCAGGCATTGGATATGGGCACCCTACATGGGCCTCGCATATTGGCATGGGATATGGGCACCCTATATGGGCATGGGATATGGGCACTCTATAAGGGCATGGGATATGGACATCGTATATGAGCATGCGATAAGGGCATCAGATATGGGCATGGGATAAGGGCATCGGATATGGGCACCCTATAAGGGTATGGGCACCCTATAAGGGCATGGGATATGGGCACCCTATAAGGGCATGGGATATGGGCACCCTATAAGGGCATGGGATATGGGCATCACATATGAGCATGAGATAAGGGGATGGGATAAGGGCATCAGATATGGGCACCGTTATCCTCTCCGATCACAGAACCTTACTTCAGAGCTATGGCGGAAAAGCCACAGGAACACTCGTTACATGAAGCTTTGGCTCTGCAGCACACAGCAGGCTGGTGACAGATGGAAAATTACTGAAAATGTGTGAAGATGACAGATTCTGCTGTAACACTTCTCACGATTTCTACAGGAATAAACACGCATTTTCTCATGTTAGTTTATGTTTGTTCCTCTCTACATACATGCATCATCTGGTAAACAAAACATATAATATGAGAGCAATGGGGACCAGCAAACTTCTCAGCTTCAAGGATGGCGCTCACCCTAGAATTACTCTATGAACACCTTGATAAATGCATAGCACCAGGTTTGACTTCTGTCTGCACTGGTTGTCCAGCAATCAGCATTGGAAAGGCCATGTACCATTAACACCATAAAACCCATTGTATCACTCAGCCCCGCACCCCACCCCCATGCTATCTACGTCTTGTAATTGCAAAGCCTGACTGGGAAACACTTCCTCTGTGCCATGATGACCTCTGCACTCCAGTTGTCCAGTGATCAGCATTAGAAAACTGTCGGCCATTACCAATGACGGCATGCATGATGGGGGGGCTGAGCGACACCATGAGTTGCATGTCGTCAATGGTAAATGGCTGAGAGTTTTCCAATGCTGATCGCTGGACAGCCGGAGTGCAGACAGCATCATGGCACAGAGGAAGCATTTTCCAGTAAGGCTTTGCAATTACAAGATGTAGATAGCATTACAAGATGGAGCTGAGTGACCCTATGGGCTTCACCTATTACACTACCGCCAGGCGGATTCGCATGGCATCTGCCTCAGCACCCCTAGATGGTGCTGAGTATAGCAAATTCCTAAACTCATCTGCACCATCTAGTGGAACTTTATACATGAAGCCCCATCAGTTACATGGCGTCACTGGTAAATGGTTAGCAGCTTCCAGTGCTTATCGCTGGACATGCGTAATGCGGACAGAAATCAAACATGGCGCTATGCTTTAATCAAGGAACTGTACATGTGTTATATGGCTGTTCAATGTTCATTGAGCAATTCTAAGGTGAATTTCTACTTTAAAGGGGAACTGTCAGGATGATATATGAGATCAGTATGCAGGCTTCTATCCTGATCGTACGTTTTCTGAGCGGAATATGGAAGCTCCCAGGGATGAAAGAAATGGAGGGTTTTCAACTCCACAAAATGTCAACGAGTTTTGGTGAAATTTCTCAGTTTTGGTGAAATGCGTTGGGATCAATGGGAAAGGAAAAATTAAGGACGTTTTTGGTGGGTTTTTTTACCGCTTCCGGCCGGCTGTATGCTTATATGTAGATTATCTGGACCCGGTAGGACAGGTTCCTGATTATGCAATCACTGTGATGGCCAATCACAGTGATCACATGATCGGGAAGCTTATGCCTCACCCAGGAAACAGATGGCGGTGCTCTGGCATTATGATCCTCTTAAAGGGCCTAGTGGTGGGTGAGGGGGTTATGGGTGCAATTTACTTTAAATGGCTCCTGAGTTCTGTTAAGGAAAAAAAGCTGTAAGAAAAGGCCATTCATGTGATCTGTCAAAGTCTCATGACTGGCTAATCTCCTCCAATCATGGAGCTTTTCTGCTTCGTTAAAGGAGAACTATGAGGCGAGTGCTTTTCACTCACCTCATAGTTCTAGACGACCTGTGACATACCGGCGTTCGCTCACCTCTCGATCCTGTCACAGCTCTCTGCCGTGACAGGGGAGGGGTTGGATACCCCCCTCCCCGCTCCGATAGCGCTGACTGGCGGATCGGACGGGGGAGGGGGCGGGTACAGCTGACTCTGCCTCTAGATAGGCAGAGCCAGCTGTCACTCACGCAGCTGGGCGGATCCCCGGCATAATTGTCGGGATCCGCTTCAGCTGTGGCGTCTCAGTATACCGCGAGCTGCAGCTAGCAGTATACTGAGCTTAGGGTGACGGGAGGATGCTAGTTTGTGTCCTCCCGTTACCCTAAGGAGAACTATGGGGAAAAGCCTTAACCCCATAGTTCTCCTTTAGGCAGAGGGCTACAATGGCGCAACACCGAGGTCTGATTTTAATTAATGGGATTGGCTGTGGTGTGTGTAGCAAAGCGATGTGTGACTGTAGCAATATCTGCTCTCCATTAAAATGAGCCCGTAAATGAAATAAACGAAATTACCCTAAATACATCCCAAAAACACCTTCTAAAGAGACATTCGTTTTTCAAGAAAATTTCTCGCCTAAGCAGCTCAATGTGCGAAATTGAGAAACAGAGAGCTTCAGCAATATCACTTCCGTCTTTAGTGGCTTTGCTTTTTGACCTCAGAAAAGGCTTGTTGACTGGCTGTCATACTGATTCCATGCTTTCTAACTTCACTTTGTCCATGCTTGATCCGTGCCCGTGACTTAGAAGGCATTAAAGACATAGAGGGCCGGGAGTCCATCGCTCTCAGGAGTCTAGGGCTCTCAAGAGTCCAGCGCTCTCAGGAGTCCAGCGCTCTCAGGAGTCCAGCAATGGCAGCTTCTCTCAGGGCGGGTTCTCTTTAATGTATCCCAGACCTCACTCTGCAGGTTAGAGTCTGGCCAAGGCCAAGGGCATTGGTGGCAGTGGGCCTGTACGGAAGGACAGGGTGTGCTTTTTTATCGCTCTTGTGTTTTGGATAGGTTTCATGATTTTAATTGTACAAGGGACTGCTGACAATGGAAAAGAAAATAAAGGTCCATTAATTTATTAAGAACACAACAATGAGCCGAGAAAAATTATACGAATTATACGAAGGACTTTCCAGGGAGAAACAGGAAGAGCCGGAGATGATAAGCGGCTCTGAGGGGGTGACGGCCAAGGGTGATAGGTGATAACCTTTCGGGGTCTCCTGGAACACCTGACACCTGACCGCACTCAACTGAACGCAGGTGTCTGCACATCACAATGGGGGACATCACCCTCCTATTGTTGTCAGAGGATGTCCAATCCCCCGAAAAGGAAATGGAAGCCTCTCTGTAAGCAGCTGTAATAGTCATTGCTGTACATATTTGGCCAGTCACATCAGTGTTCCCTGTGTTTCATACTGGGTCCCCGAGTATTAATCAGCCCTTAGATCTAAACGCGAAAGCCCCATTCACACTTGTGTAGCGCAAAATCCTATGACTTTGTGTGCATTCATGAAACCCACAAAAAGCGCATGTCATGCTCGCAGCGCCATTCACTGTTAATGGTCACGCCAAGCAAGATGTGCATTTTCCACACACAAAGAGGTAACCCACTGAAATGAATGGGCTGCC